AAATTAATAATTTAAATCCAGCGAACCACTAATAAAGATTTTTTTGTGTTAAATACAGTGATACAAACAATTGAGGATACACCTTACTTTTACTTGATAAATCCAACTTTCAATCGAAATAACACATTAACTAGAAGTGCAAACGTGTTTTTATTTTCACACGTAGCAAAAGGGTTAATTTACAGTACAAATAACAAAAATCAACAAAAAAATATCTGAAATCAAAAATTTCACAAGTATTTGAAATAAACATAGGCAGATCTTTACCTCAAAAAATTGAGGATACACCAATGAAATTTGTGTGAAATATCACATACAAAGACAGTGTCAATATTTGGTTGCATGTCCTTTGGCTTTTATAATGTCCTCCATACGTCTTCGTAACAATTCGACCACTTTTTTGGTGGTATCTGGAGATATTTTATCCCATTCTTCTTGTAACACTTGCTTTAAATGGGCTTTGTTCCTAATTTGGTGTTTTTGGTCCACTGTTTTGCGCGAGTGTGGCCCACAAATTTTCTATGACATTGATGTCAGGGGACTGTGGTGGTGTGTGCAATTGCTGTTTGCAATGAAAAAGACACCACATTTTGACATTACGTGTTGTATGTTTGGGGTCATTGTCTTGCTGGAAAATAAAATTTCCATTTAAACCCAATTTTTTTGCACTTTCTTTAAGATTGTTGTTGAGTATATCTATATAAAGCTTATGATCCATTATGCTATCTATAAAAACTAAATTTTCTACTCCATTTGAAGCCATACAACCCCAAATCATGACGGAGCCACCACCATGTTCAATTGTAGGACGTAAATTTTTTGGATCCAAAGCGGTGTTCGCGGCTTTCTCCAAACGGTGCGACGGCCATCACTTCCACAAATGTTGAATTTACTTTCGTCACTAAATATAACTTTCTTCCAAAAGTTATCTGTCTTCAATTGATGAGTTTTTGCAAACTCCAAACGCTTCTTCTGATTTTGTAAGCTTATGAAAGGTTTCTTTCTAGCTACTCGACTGCTATATCCAGCATGTCTAATCACATTTCTCACAGTTTCAGCACTTACACTTCTGCCCATTATTCCAGAAGTTTCTGCAGCTAGTATGACTGCATTTAGTTTAGGATCAATCTTGATATCTTTCAAAACTTTCCTTTTAGCTACATAACTCAGAATACTTTTCCTTCCTCTTCCACTTTTATTTTCAATTAATCCATCACTTTTAAATCTTCCAATGATTTTCTGGACACACGAGTGGCTTCTACCGACAATTTTAGCTATTTCACGATAAGATTTTCCTTTCTTAAATAACCTTAATATAAATTTTCTTACATCAATACTGGTCTCTCTCCGAGGACCCATTTTCCATTTAAAATTGCGACTTTAAACTCATAACCAACTTCAAAAGACAAAAGTAGCAGTCGATAAAGTTTAAGATGAAATTGGCCAAACTTAGGTTATTATAGTAGCAAGCAGAAAAAAAATCTACTGGTAGTTAAACAAACATTTCCTTGGTGTATCCTCAATTTTTCGAGGTAAAGATCTGCCTATGTTTATTTCAAATACTTGTGAAATTTTTAATTTCAGATATTTTTTGTTGATTTTCGTTATTTTTACTGTAAACTAACCCTTTTGTTACGTGTGAAAATAAAAACATGTTTGCACTTCTAGTTAATGTGTTATTTCGTTTGAAAGTTGGATTTATGAAGTAAAAGTAAGGTGTATCCTCAATTGTTTGTACCACTGTATATATTAAAAATGTGATCTTAGAATACATAAAATGTACCTAGTTAATACAATGAAACTATTAATTGTAACCAAATTATGAAAGCTTTATTAATAAAACCATATTAAAATAAACACAAACTGTAATCAAACTTTTAGCATTATACATTCCTAGAGTGTGATGGTGGTTCCGGCTTACTTGAAATAAGATTATGGGTATTTGGATCCAAAGTTGTTACTGCAAGACGGAGAACTGCATTTATTTCAAGCTGAGATCGGTACCGTGTTTTGATGGCTGTGATAGATTAAAAGGTCTTTTCACATTAATAAGTTGTGGAGAATTGAATCAGAATTTTCATCGCCTGTTCAATAAGGAAAGAGTATTCACTTTTTATAGAAAGCCAAAACTGAGATCTTGATCAGGATAAATGAAATTTAAATTTTAGCATTTCGTCCGACGTTAGGTCGATGAGGTTTTCTTTTAGATGCATGTTTAAATTATCTTGAATTTTCGCTGCAAACGGATCTGTTATCTATGTATAACAATGCAGCTACAGCAGTTTGGCTTATTTACCGAGGCGTTATTCTAGAAAATAGTGTTTTTATAACTTTTCACGTATTGTTATAAATTGATTTATGTTTCGATGCATCTTAAAACATAACGCGTGAGTAAGCATATTCCACACACTTTTCTGAGGACCAGCGAAATTTTCTCACGGATCACCACTTTGGCGACCTCTGCAATAAATGATTGCTACAATGTCCTGTACCTACCCTTAAAGTTAGTACCATTAATTCGGGACCAAACTGTATACTAAGAGAACTGATGTCGTAGGAGAAAAGAGAACTTTATACATAACTTCATGCAAATTAGACGCGACATGTCCGATAGCGGTATGATTAAACAGCATCACAATCTGCTTATACTTCACTTGATGGAAATTTCAGGTGAAACAGAAAATTGAGGTAAAAGCAGATTGTGAAGGTTTATTTCCAACAAATTCATAAATTTTTTATTGACTTTTAAAGATAAAATTCCTTATTAAATTCCTACTATTAACTCACACTCTCTATTTATTTATTTATTTATCTTGGTGGAATTTTCAATCGTTAATAAAATACATTTCAAAGGGCTCCATTGAGCCGAAATTTTATGTACATGATCATTTTGGATGACAATACAGTAGTTTAATTATTATTAATAAAAATTAATGAAATAAAACAAATTATTTAAAGAATTACAAATACAGCCACGTTGGCATCAGTTTTGGCGACTTGTGTCAAAACTTGAAAAGTTTTTTTTTCTTATTTTTTCACATTTTCTTAAGGCATTCAGTTACACTAAAATTTTATAGACACGATTGTTTTGGATGATAATACGATACTTTAATGTTAATTAATAAAAACTAATTACCACTTAATGTTGTGATTCTTCCATATGTCATATCATCTAAGTAGGAATTGTGATTTAATTTCTTTTTTTATAATACTTGTTTTTATGCAGTTTGAAAGTAAACATCGCTGTTCCAAAATACTAATTATTACTTAAGAAATATGAATGTTATATAACAGAGAGGAGAGAGAGAGATCATAAATAATTTTACCAATCGTTTCTAACCAAAATAATTTTTTTTCTTTTCGCTCTCTTTCTATTCATTTACACTTAAACAATCCCTATTTAAAAACAATGCCAATTAATTCCACAACGCTTAATTAATACATTTGTTAATTTAACATTTTTCCTGTACTTATATAAAATATTGATAGCTACTCATTTGAGAAGAAAAAGACTTTTACTGCTAACATAAAAACTTTTAAAAAAGGTAGATTCAAGTGTGTTCCTATAGCCTTAAAAAAAGTATTTTTTATTTACATTTATTTATTGTTAGATTAATAAACACATCTAAAAGGTATTGTTTCATTTCAAACAACTCCTTTGATTCTTTTTATTTTTTCAGAACAAAGAAACACAAACGGAACCGTTGCCACAGCTTACCTTTGACGGCACAGTGTCCCCTGCTGAAATAATACAAGCTTATCAGGAAAAAGAAGTAATATTTTTTCTCTTCATAAAATTAAACGGCACGAAAATCAGTTATTCTTTATAATTCATAAAATATGTCGTAAGTAAGAATCACATCGAAAATGGGTAGCCAATTTGATATTAATGTATAGTCTTGAAATATTAGATTTTTTAATAATTTTTTTATCAGGACCACATGGATGGAATTTCTCTCAGACGAATTTGTCGTTTATATTTTCCCTTCTTCACAGTGTTGTAATTTAATGGTCAGTAGTGTTTATATATTTGTGTGTGTGTTTCACAGTATAGTATTCCCTAAGTTCAACATTTTTTTTATCATATCTTGATTTCTAAATATAGTTTCCCCCTTTTTTATGCAAAGTTTAATGAACACAATTTTATTTAAAAAAATTCTCTCTCTGGCCTTATTTTTGTGTGACTAAAAATCTAATATATTCTTAAATTCATTTCTTTTTTTATTTCTTTAGTGAAATATCAGTCAAATATGTTATTGCGTGGTTCTTTTCTAAATGACTTCTTTGTGTTATTTGTTTTTTGTGATTATTTTAATAATAATTAGTGAAAAATTATTTGCTGTTAGTATTTATGAAATTTCTGAATATGTTTTGTGTGACTTCTTTTATGTGTTACCAATCTTCCACACAAATTCAGGTTTAACTGTACAATACTCATACACACACATTTGATTCCTTTAAATTTAAAAATACCATACATTGAAATTAGTTCGATGCTATACATGTTTCTGCGTCCTTTCTATGTTAACTATAGGCTCTTTCCTTTAAGCATTACTTTATTTTATATATAGGCACAAGGAAAACAGGTCAGTGTCGAACAATCCACCAAATCATCCAAAAAAAGTTCCAGAAAAGGACAAAAGGTATTAATTTTATATCTTGCATTCTAAAATTCATTTACCTTCTTTTATAAAAAAAAAATCGCACAATTCACATACTCATGAAACTGGTTAAATATGAATTATTTTTGAATTCGTACTATTATTGTTCAGTCTCTTCCTATATATATATATCTTGTTCAAATTTTCAGACGTTAATAAGATACTTTCTATTCATCCAATCAAGTTCAAATACATTTTTTAAAACTTGTAGTGGATGACACTTGATGTTAATGCAGTTTTTCAAATATTAATTCATTCATTAAATTAAAAAATGTATAAATAGTAACAAACAAAAATAATAGTCTAAAGGCATGTATGAAAAGAAAAATCGTTCGTTGTGTCCCTGTAGCGCAATGGATAGCGCGTTGGACTTCTAATCCATCCTTCAATTCCATGGGTTCGAATTCCACCTGGGATGGCCTAATTTCTGAGAATGTGATTCCTTTTTACTATACTATTTTATTAGAATAATTAAATTTAATGATTGAATAAATAGTAACAAACAAGCAAAAAAATAGTCCAACACCCTATCGAAAAGAAAATGGAAAATTGCAAAGAAAATCGCTTACTATTTTACCACTTAATATTGTGATTCAGTAATATGTATATACATATTCATATTAATTGTAACTATTTAATAAAAAGTAACTAAAATAAAAATTTTCTCTGTTGACCTAAGTAGGGGGGAGAATTGACTTAAACTATTTTTATATTACTTTTTTATTTAATTCTCTATTGATAAATTCCTTTTTCTGCAATAGTAAGTTCAAATTTTTTTTTTTTTGCAGATAGTAAATCCTGAAAGTCAACGAAGATTCTTTCGGTTTTGTGAACGAATGATAGATCAAAATTTACTTTCAGATGTTAACATTGGCAAGTTTTCTTTTTTACCTCTACCTACACTGCTTCGATGAAATTAATGTAAAATCCGGCGTATAACTCGCACCCATATTTCAATGCTTCAATTTTTAATTTTTAGTTGTATTCGCTCCCCCTTTTTGGCGAAGGAACCTGAAATGTACGTGAGCAATGTTCTTAGGTTTCGGAGCCATTTATTCAAGATATTATCCAATAATTTTGAAAATACAGTATACTTCTCTCTCTCTAGAATTACAATCCTTTAAATTCATTAGGAATGCTATTTCTTTTCAGTAAAGAGTATACTGATCTATGTATAGAAGTCCAAATTTTTTTTTATACTCATCTCTTTCTTTTATTTTGAAGCTATCATTTTTATACCCTGCGTCAGTGGCGCACACAAGGGAGGGGATCCTAGGAGTCAACCAAAGCCCTTGATTTTTTTCCGATTAATTATAATTTTAAGTATATAATACGTAAAATGTAATTAAATATTTGTTATTAATGATTAATTTTATTAATTAATGCTAATTATTTATTCAATAATTAGTTTTTTACTACTTTTTGTTCCCGAAAACAGACAAAATCAAAAGAGCATGATACAAGAATGGTGGAGTTTCGACCCTGGAACCCCTCCCCCTCCCTGAAAAATTCCTGTGTGCGCTACTGCCCGGCGTATAACATGCACCCTCAAATTTCGATCTTATTTGTTGCCTTCAAAGTGAGTGTTATACGCCGGATTTTACGGCAATTAAGATTAAGATTGATTGAGATAGCTGATTAAGTGATGGAGGATTGAAATATTTATGTCTTTTCTGTAGATTTCAGCTTTTATGATACTCCCAGTGACGAATTCAAAGACAAGGGTTTGGGATCTCTGCTTGCGCTGTGGAAATTCAGTCATCAGCCCATGAAGGGAATGCCTGTGACTGGTCTCAGCTGGAATGATTACTATCCTGACATGTTTGCTGTTGCTTTTGGGTCATGTAGGGAACAATTTAGATCTTTTTGTTTTCTTATAGGTTATTTGAGGTTCTTACATGTGATATGAATTATCGTTATGTCTAGCTTGATAAAAAAAATTGTTAAAAAATCTTCCATTTATTTTAAGAGCTCAGGAGCCAAATTTAACATTTGTGCAGTAAATGACTTTGCCGTATATTTATTTTTTAACCGGGTAGACAAGTTTGTGCAGGAGCATCTTATTCTATTTCAAATTTAAGTATACATTATATTTTATTTCATGTTTAACATTGTAACGGATCTATTCGCGAGCCTCCTACTAATCCTCTTGGGAAATTTACTTCTTTTAAATATTGTTCTGTTGGAAACCTAATATTTCATAGTTATAGTTATCTCCATATATTCTAATATTAGTTAAAATTACTTATTATTATTTAATTCATATATACTCGAGTGTCACTAAAGTTATGGTAATTTGTAACACTCTTATTAATTTTCGTTTCTATTCTTTTTATACTTTTGTTAAGTGCTATATTTCAGCCATTCGCATGCTTTGAATCTGCATTAGGGTCCAGAATCTGGCAATAAGTTATATTTATAGCACTCAGATTTAGCGCGGGCTCAGCATTTTCAAGTGCAATTTTTAGGTAAGTTACCTCTATCTTGTAATGGATTTAGATATTCCTATCCATTACTTTCAATAGGTTTTTACTCAGTATTATTTACATAAAGGGGGAAGGTTAGCTGGCCAAAAGACATGTTCACCCCCACTTTTATATAAATTATTTTATATATTAGCTGTCCTTCCTAAGTCAGCAATGTTTATAATACTGCAGCATCAATTTTATAATTTTAATCTCGGTTGCTCATGTGTCCTTCATTGTGTAATTTTCCTACTGTCTATGTGTTTTTCGAATGTGATTGTTGGATATTTATCTCTTGTTTGTAGAGAATAAGACAATATATATATATATATATATATATATATATATATATATATATATATATATATATATATATATATATATATATATATATATATATACAGTCAGATCTCTTTTTATGCGGATTGTTTTTATGCGATTTTGAAGTTGTGCGGTTTGTATTCCAAACATTTCTAGATTTTTGTTATTATTATTATTTTTTATACTGAGACGTAGATCGTAGTATTCTGAGAATTTCCGCATCTTTTTGGTGCTTACGTCTGCGGCTCGGCTGCGACAGTCTTAGATTCGCATTCGTTATTTTTGTAGTATTTCAGTAGTATACCGATACGATATCGTTATTTCGAAATTATATTTTCTCTTAGCGTTGCCTCGTTCATTTTTATAAAAGTTTCACTTTAATAAGTGGCGAATTTAAGTTGCAATATAATAAGCAGCAAATTTTGATTTCTGGATTTAAAGTGAGTGTCGTAAAGTTTTATTTTTCATTAGAAAATCGTAATTGTAATTTTTTAAAATTTCTTTTATAAGATTTTATTTGGCCCAATGGAGAAAAAAAAACATCAAAGACAGTCAATTTCGTTGGAAACGAAAATTGCAATTTTAGATCGCTTAGGAAAAGGAGAAGGATCTACGGCTATATTGGAAAAAATCTTAATTTAGGCGAATCTACTGTCAGAGCAATTAAAAAGAATGAAGCTGCAATAAGAAAATCGGTCATTTCTGATACAAAATTAAGCACCAAATTTGCATCGTACACAAGGGATGTATTATTAGAAAGAACGGAAAGAGCCATCGTAATTTAGATTGAGGAACAAGTTCAAAGAAGGATTCCTGTAAGTGGTTATTTAATCCAAGAAAAAGCTCTTCAGTTTTATAAGTCAATAAAACAGTCAGAACCATCAACTTCCACTTCCCAAGGTGGAAAAGAATTTTCAGCTAGCAAAGGATGGCTAACCGGGTTCTTAAAAAGAAATGCACTTCATAATATTATAACAGGGGGAGAGAGAGAGAGTGCTACAGCAGATGAAGGAGCAGCAAAAATATTTCCAGAGAAGCTAGCGAAAATTATTGAAAATGGGGACTATTCTGCCGATCAAGTATTTAACGTTGATGAAACAGGACTTTATTGGAAAAGATTGCCTAACCGTACTTACATCGCAAAGGATGAAAAAACTGCAAGTGGACATAAAGAAAGTAAAGATCGAGTCACCTTATTACTTTGTAGCAATGCATCAGGAGATCGGATGTTGAAACCTCTCTTAATAAATAAATCTCTTAGACCACGCGCCCTTAAAGGTAAAGATTTAAAACAACTGCCCGTGCATTGGATGGCTAACCCGAAAACCTGGATGACAACAGCTTTTTTACAGAATGGTTCAATAATTGTTTCGTACCAGAAGTGGAAGCCTATATGAAGGAAAAATCTCTCGATTTTAAAGTTTTATTAATTGTTGACAATGCAGCAAGTCATCCACAATTAGAACATCCAAATGTTCAACTAGTATTTCTTCCGCCCAATACAACAAGCCTTATTCAGCCATTAGATCAAGGCATAATTGCAACTTTTAAAAAATATTATATTAAGACAACGTACAAATTCATCTTGAATAAACTAGAAAATGAGTCCTTAACAGTAAAAGATGTGTGGAAACAATTTTCTATTTTTGATTGTTTAATTCATGTTGCATCTGCTTCCGCTCAAATAAGACCTAGAACTTTAAATGCCTGTTGGAAAAAGATTTGACCAGCATGTGTGACAGACAATACAACCACTCAAATATCGACACTATCAGATGAAATAATTAATTTGGCTCATGAAATTGGAGGAGATGGTTTTAATACCTTCAGCCACGATGATATTGATGAATTGCTTGTGGATGATGCAATTAAGTGACAATGATATTATTGATTTAACTTTAGATCTAACTGTAGACGGCGTCGTAGGTCTAGAAGGTGATAATGATGAGGAAGAAAAATCAACTCCCCTCACTGGAAAATTAATTCAAGAAGGTCTTCAATTTTGCAGTAAATAAGAAAGTCATTTTCTTATTAATGACTCCAATTCTGAACGAGCCTCTAAATTACAACGTGAGCTGCAGAACTGCATGTCTGGATATCGTGAACTATATAAAAAAATAAAATAATCCTCATCGCAAAGTTTAATTACTGATTACATTGTCAGAAAAGGAAGAGCTACACAGAACGAGAAGGAAGTTTGTGAAAATCCGTGGCCTTTACCGCAAATATCTATTGCAGAGAGAGTCTCTTCTGATGATGAAGGTTATTTGGAACCACTTCGCAAACGGTGCAACCATTATCAGATAGCTATAATGATTAAAAATGTAAAACTATGTGTATTACTTTTCCATAAAATAAAATAAATTAAGATTTGAATACAAGTTTTTTTTTTTTTTAGCTTTTGTATGAATTTCTTTCAGACATTCGAAGTAATTTATCATGCAGCCTATTTCTTTTCATTTCTTCAATTTTTTTTTATGCGGTTTTAAGTTAATTTTAACTAGTTGTTTTTGTTTTATGCGATTTTAGAAAACTAAGGAACGTATCCCTACTTTTTCCATTCAAGTAATGTCTTTTCTAATGCGATTTTTTTGTATGCGTTTTTCGGTAGAACGTATCTACCGCATAAAAC